AGCCTTTCGCCACCCCTGAGCCTCTGCCCTGTACCCCTGCTCTGTATGCACAAATAAATAAATCTTAAAAAAAAAAAAAAGGTCTACAAGATGCAGCATCATCTGGTCTTTTTCTCCCTCCCCCCACCATCCCACACACACAGCTTTCTTGTGCCCCAGAGCCTAGTCACAGTGACCTTTTAGTCCCCAAGGACCCTGCCAGAGCTGCCCAGTTCTCTTCCACTGGCTAATGTCTTCCCACCCTCAGCTCTCAACTCTCCCTCAAAAAGGACTGGCCTAAGTTCTCAGAGATCAGTTATCTTCATTCTTAGCCTGCAATCAGCTCCCTAATCACAGCTCTTAAGTTAGGAAGAGCTGAGTGTTCCTCACCCTACTAACATCTAAGTCATCTTAGGACAGATAACCTGCCATGTTCACAACTGCCTCCCCAATGTCTACCATAGTGTTAAACACTAAATGAACGCTGAGTAAGTACTTGTCAAATGCAGTTCTGTAAAAACACAAAGCTAACAGAGAAGTTAAATTTGCCTGGGGGAGTTCTCACCTTTGATTTTCTGCCTTAAACCAAACTTCAGCTGATGAAATAGTGAGTTGAATTTTTTGGTCCTCCAACTTTCCAGTTTTCTGGGGATGGTGATCCACAAAGTTGCTGGCAGCTAACACTTCTTATTTCCCTCTATATAATGTTTCAGTTATCCTATCTCCTGCAGAGACTATATATAAAGAACAGGTATTTACAAGTTTGTACATTTAGCTATTTGTTTGAATTACTCATTCACCTACAGGAAAGCTGAGATGATTACAATATTATTCACCAACCTTCTGAATTACCTTGACTGAAAAATTCATTAATCACTACTTCATATACCAAACTCCCTCACTTCTTCCTGCACTTTGATCAGAGTTCCCTCAGACCTTGCCTGGCTTTGTGAGCTAAAACTTCAGCTGCCTTCCTCCTCCCACACCTGGTATTTCAGAGCTCCCTTTCCTGCTTAGAATATACCCCCTACCCTATTTTACATTTGTTTCCAGAAAGAATACCCTCAAAGGGATAATTTGCTTTAGTTTATCCTCAGTTTGACATCATCTAGATCCTGAAGTATTAGCTGAACAAATAACCTGACAGTGCTCAGGAACAGAATGCTCAGAAAACAAGAAGTCTGTTTCCTGAAGTCTCTGTTTTCTCCTGCTTCTCCACCCTCCAAAACTGATCAAACTAATCTAGACAGGAATAAAGTCCACTTTCCAGGAGAGAATTTTGCTACAGCTCTCCTCTCCTGCCTAGCACAAAGCTTGACTTGCAGTAAACACTCAGTTTGGGTGAGAGCTGGTGAATGAGCAAGTTCTAACAAAGAACATTCTCCACCTCCACTTATTTTTTCACATAACTTTTCCAGGAGTAGCACAGCTATGTCATTCTCATCCCTTGGCTGCCCTGTCCACTTCAAGGTGGCTACTTTTCACTCCTGCCATTGTATCTGTATTCCAGCCGATAGGAAGGGGAAATGAACATGACTCTTCCAGACTTAACAGCAAATAGCCTCCATCATTTCTGCTGGTCAGAACTTAGTTACATGACCATACCCAGGCCAAAATGAGCCTGGGAAATATGTTATGCAGCTGGACATAAGTATTCTGTTATTAAAGAAGACAAGTTAGGGAAATTTCCAGCTGTGTAGAAATGGGCAACACAAGTATCTTTGTTTTCCTATGAGCAGTTACAGTGCTACTACTTAGACATAATGTCCACATGCATCCCCTTCACCTGCACCGTTTTACTAAATTGGTCTAAACAATTCTGTTAAAAGTTCACAAATTTAATGTACAGAAGAGGCAGTCGTGGAGTTTTTTAACTAATGTTGACAAGAGGCCTTCAGTACTCTAGCCTCCCTGTGCATTTCTCCACTACAATCTTTCATACCCACATGTTTATGTTTACATAAACATGTAAAAATATGTTTATGTTTACATCATTTTGTGCATTCTTCCATCTCAGTTGTAATCCCCTTGGGCATACCCACATATATACTTTTTTAAATTTAATTTATTTATTTATACACAACTGGGGTACAGACCAGAGATGTGGAGGGTGAGAGGATTCACCAGAGACACAGTGGGGAGCAGAACAGGCAAATGTACTGGAATACACTGTTGAGGGGAGCAGTGGGCGGGTCAGGAGAGGTCTGCCGCGCCATGTGGGTCACCTCGGAGCGTGCGGGGATCGAACTCATGTGGAAGTGGCTTAAGCTTCTTAGTGCTGTGTTTTAACCCGCTGCACCACCAGGGAGGGCCACCCACATATTTTTTAACAAAATATTTTATTCCGAATACAGATATAGGTCACTGTTCTGTCTCTCCAAGGTAGCCCTTGCAGTACCGTAAGAATACAAAGTATGTCCCTCATCCACCAATTGTTGGGGATGACAGCAATTTAAACCAGGGCCCCAAAATCAAAATACAGGGTTCTTAGCTCTCCCATAAGACAGGACATAAAAAGTGTATTTTGGGGTAGTATTTTTCTCACATGAAATATACTAAGGAAACCACCCTTTGGACTTTCTCTGGGAGAACAGAGAATGTCAACAGATTAGAGCTCCAACTTAACTGCTAATTTTGTAGGTTCTCCAGATAACTATTCTAGAAATCTGCTCACTTTGGGGCAAAAATCCTAAGTTCAAAGAGAGAGAATGACTGTTCTTTTCTACGAGATACATAGAGACCCAATGAAGTGCTGATAGACTCCATTTAACTAACAATTGTCCTATTATATAATTTAAAAGATAAATTCTATTACTAAAAAAATCACATCTGACTTTAGTATTCATATTCAACAAATTTAAGTTCTTATAGCACTGGAAACAGCCCTGTCCTTACAGATCTTCAGTCCCCATAAGTGAGTCTATCGACATTCCTTAAAAACATTAAATACTGACTTTTTAAATTACAGAATACTAATATCCATCCCATCCAGACCCTTGATTTAGAACAAAACACAAGATTTTGTTGTTGTTACAAAAAGCAGTTTATTAAACGTATGTTTACAAATTCAACAAAACACAGTAATAGTTAAAATGTAACAGAGGGGGCCCTCCCTGGTGGCACAGTGGGTTAAAGCACAGCAGTAAGAAGCTCTGCCCTGGAGATCCACATAGCGTGGCAGACCTCTCCTGATGCGCTGCTCCCCTCAGCTGTGTACTTCGTTGATCTGTCTGTTCTGCTCCCCACTCTGACGGCCTGAAGCCTGAAGCCTCTCACGGCCCCTGCACCTCTGGCCTGAACCCCAGTTCTGTATGAATAACTAAATAAATCTTTAAAAAAAAAAAAAAAGTTATGGCCCTCCCTGGTGGCGCAGCGGGTTAAAGCACAGCACAAAGTAGCTTAAGCCACTTCCGCATGAGTTCAATCCCCGCCTGCCCAGGAGGAGACCACATGGCGAGGCAGACCTCTCCTGACCCGCCCGCTGCTCCCCCCAGCTGTGTACTTCATCGATCTGTCTGTTCTACACCCCACTCTGTCTCTGGTGAATCCTCTCACCCTCTGCATTTCTGGCCTGTACCCCAGTTCTGTATGAATAAATCTTTTTTTAAAAAAAAAAAGCTACAGGGGGGAGGAAAGAGCTTTTTAAAAGTCTACCTTCTTTGAACCAGGCCTCCCCTGGTGGCGCAATGGGTTAGGACACAGCACAGCAAGCTATCCATAGCCACTTCAGTGCAAGTCCAATCCCCAGCCCCGGAGGTGACCCACATGGTGCAGCAGACCTCTCCTGTCTCGCCCGCTGCTTCCCTCAGCAGTGTATTTCAGTACATCTGCCTATTCTACTCCCCACTATGTCTCTGGTGAATCCTCTCACCATCCCTACACTTTTGGCATGTTCCCCAATTTTGTATGCATAAATAATTTTTTTTTAAAGGCTTCCTTCTTTGAGCCATATATCCTATAGAGCACTTACTAAGTACTTTCTTGGAAACTTACCCAGTTTTCTGAAAGCCTTCTTCTGTACTATAGAATAGCATTAGGCAGTCTCAGGTCTAAAAGAAAACTGAAGCAGATATCACAACTGACCCCATATATTACCTGTACTCTTTAAGAGAGAGCAATTTTAAAATCAATTATCTTAAATCTGAGAGAAGCCAACACCTCTCATTGTTGACTAAAATTTTTTATCAAAACAAGTGTTTTTATATATCTGCGTGCTTCTTGTCTGAAGGGGAAAGGTCTTATGGACACAGAATTTTCACCATCACTTCCTAATCAGGAGTTTGTATTTCTCATATATCCCACACAAAAGTTGATAGATGCATGACTTGATGGGACAAAAATCAAACTAATCTGTGGCTTAAAAAAAAAACATTTTTAAAGAAGAAAATAAAAACAAAGCTAACTCACATAGTGAATAATCAAGGAGTGACTTATTAAGGGCAAGCAATACCAGAAATGATTTATTTGAATCAAAGGAGACAGAATGTAAGAATTGAGTCATGAACTGTTCTATTTACTTATGTCATTTCATTTATTCTTCCCCAAAATTCTATAGATCAGGGAACTAAGGCAGAGTGTTTAACTTCCATAACAGCACAGAGCTGAGGAAGCTATGTGGCTCGGGACCCAAATGCAGGCACACAGACTCCAGAGCCAGTTCTACTGAGAACTATTCTATCTGCCAACTATCCAGTCCTGACACCTCATTTACAGACAAGATTTAGAGAAGGAAAATTAGTGGCTACAGTAAGAAACTCCAAATTCTAGGTCCAAGTCTGTTTCAAAAGAAAACTAATAAAGAAAAACACATCCAAACTCTTACAAGTAAAATGGGAAAGTATTGCTCATTCTGGGCAAACCTCATGATGACTTGAAAGGCCTGGTATACCCATTTTCTATTTTCTAGTGCACATATAGATAACAGAGCAGGTCACAGCAACAATTAACCTCATCCCTTTTAAAATTCCACTCAATTAAACAAGTAAAAGTTGAAAGAGTAGGAGAAAAAAAGGACACATTTAGCATGTTTAGAAGTTTATTAAAATAAAGTATTAGCAAACATATGCAAAAACAAAAGTTCTTAAGAGTTATGGCTTTGAAAAGCACAATATAGTAAAACCTAATACATTTTCATAAGTATCAAAAAAGATAACAGAACTGAGGCCTGTTGCTAGAATCTCACTTTCTACTACATAAACAGAGGCAGAACAAGGACAAAAAAGAAGCAGACCTAGAGTGCAACCACTGGTTTGGTCTTTATCACCTGCCTAGGAAATATCTTTGTAGAGAATATGGGCTAGTGTCTACAAACATCAGCTTTTGTGTTTACAATCCTATCCAATTACCCAAAAATAAGTGACTTTCAAATTTCAACTTAAACCAATGAGGTTAGGAAAATCACTTGCCCAACGGCTACTATTAAGAGTCCATGCAGTTTTACTTCATGAGTAAGTCAAAGCAACATTATCTTCAATGGCATTAAAAAGGAAATTCCAACTCTTAAAAACTTTCTTTTACAAAGAACTTGAGATCACTTGGTCTCACTGGAGTTTTGATTTAACTAACACCAGTTAGTAGTAAGAAGGCACTATCTATTAATGAGGGGGGATGGGGTGAATTTACCTGTACACAGAAATCCTCAACTTTTCAAAAACATTATCAAATCCTTAAAAACAGATTTTTAAAGAATTTTAAGAACTGAATTACCTAGACAAAAACCACACAAATCAATTTTACTTGATTAGTGACAGAAGAATTCTGCTATAAGACTGGAACTTTTTTACGACTCATCACTTTTAAAACACTAGCTAGCTATTGTTATTACCAATATGATAGCATAATCCCTAACAAAAACTAGTGCGTGAACTCTTCACTGTTTTTGTAAAGCAATTTTAGGGTAACAATTCAATTATAACAATTGTTTTAGAAAACAAGTTTCTATTATGAATAATCCAACATGACAAAGGCTTGATAAACATTGTTATCTATGGTGATTCCCACACACTAAACTGCAATCCAGTGAATTCCAAATAACTGTCCAGCTTTTTCAATCCAGTGAATAGGATTGCTTATGCAGAAGAAATCCTGTGAATTTTCACTTTCCATACATGCATTTTTTGTGTGAAGAAAACCTCTCTAGACTCCAACCCTTATTAATGAGAATACTGCTGCTCATGGGATTACCCACAGACAAGAAAATAACCCCCTTTACCCCTTAAAAAAAAAAATCCCCTAGTTAGTATCTGAGGGAAATACCCATAAACCAAAACTTAGGAAAATTCCCTCCTATAAAAAAATCACCACACACTTCTAAAACCACCAGGTTATCTACTTCTTTAAAAGATCTTTGTGGCTTAGCTAACAGATGCGTATAATCACCTTAACATTTATATTCCTACCCAAGAAATTGTGGACTTAATAAAAAAGACAAAGGAGAGCTCTAAACCTCTTGGAAGTTAGATCCAAAATGTAAGTCATCACTGGAAACTGAACTCAATTTCTAAGGAGATTAAATTCCTTAGAAAGTATAAAAAATATATTTTTAAGGGGGAACTGATAATGATCCTAAGTAATATTAAGCAAGTAATTAGGAAAAGTATAAAGAAATAGATCTAAAGTGGTTTATTAGATGCTTTCTATAGTGTATGTAAACACTATAACTGGTACCATCAAACTCTTTAAGGTGTCTCTGTTCCTAGAATTTCATGTTTTGTACAAACTTTCTCCTTCAACAGAACAATTACTAGGAACCGTTTCTCACAGGTACCCACAAGTAATACTAAAGATTTTATCAGTCCTAATTCTTACCTTGACAAAATGCTTTAGATCTGAAAACCTGTTTTACATTCCAAAAAGATGTCTTATTCTCAAATATTATGAAAGTATAATACAGCTATATCTTCTCTCTGTGCTACTGCATGTAGTTCACTGAACTGTCCAGTAATCTTTCTGTGGAAATATCCTCAGAAACCCAATCAATGCTCTTATCATAATTTCCTTATATAACAACAGTAAATGTGAAAATGATTTATCTTCTGGTGTATATATGACTTTTTAAATTAACGTCTTCCTTAAATTTTCTGTAAAGGAAAAACATTAGCTTCAGTACATCAATAACATGCTTACTAGTTTACATTCTATTAACTTTAGCTGGGCAATACCAAACAGACCATAATACTCTACAATGTAGAAATGTTAGTCAAATGTATCTTCTAAATTTTGTACTTTTTTCAAAATACATTCTTTTGTTGCATTAATTCATGCTGAGATTAATTTTGATTCTACTTCTCTTCACAATTACTAAACTGGTTTTCCTTTTGTTATCTGTCTCTTCGGATGGCACAGCTCATTAAACTGTAGATGCTATAATGTGACTGATCTATTGGTTTGATGATTTCATAAATTTGATTATAAGCCATTCTAGAAATTAAATAAAAACTTAATACTGTAATATTCTGAAATGATTTCTTTCAGAGGACCATTGTTTTCACTGGTCAGAATTTCTGTTTGTTTGTTTGTTAATTTTACCAGCAATTTTAATCTCTCCTCCATGGCCTTTGGGGGTCATGAATTATTGAGGCAGCTAGATGGACTAAAGTTTTCATTTCAATTCCAGAGATATGGCGTTCATAACTTTTAAGAAATACAACAGATTCATCATACTTCTCCATTATACTCTTGCCAGTTAACGGCATAAGAGCTGTCAGTAGGAACACATCTTCTTAGAGAAGACATAGAAAAGCCAATTACAAGTCTGTTAACTTTAAAGGTATGCCATGAGTTTAGATACAAATAATTTTTAATTCTACTGATAACACCAATAAAACAACTCAGGAATCTCCACCAATTCAAGTCCAATGAAATTGACTACATGTATCTGTCATTCAACCTGGGTTTTTTTCCCCTACAAATTGTTTCAAAGACTGTATCATGAGTTTGATAAGTAAAATAATTTGAGGACAGGTAAGATTTTATCACTAAGCATATAATCCCTTTCCTGTGGCTGACACAGCTCTAGCAGTATCATGTAAAACTCATCTTTAAGGCTCAGGAGACTATAGAAATTATCTTTTTAACCAGCAAAGAACCTTGAGCTGAAACACAAATGGCATTTCATTAGAAAAAATTAAAACCACCCACTGGCTGCACTTTGTAGAAGCAATAAATAATATCACAGGAAACAAAATGAACTGTATTCTTTTCTTTAAAAAATGCATATTTTTACTTACATAAGGTAGAAAGGACAAAGTAGAAATTCAAACCAAACATATTTTCAACAGAACATATGGCTCCATATACTTTGAAAAGGCACCAGGCAATAAACTTCTTCTGATAAGTAAGTTAGGTCACTTTTCCCAAATTGATTTCCTTGTTCTCATGCCATAACTAAATGTTTACTTCACTGCTCCCTAGAAAAGGTTATTAAGAGACTTTTAGCCAAAGTCTTTAAGTATGACTGGTTAAATGAATATTACAGACTTTTTATTTCTTTTCTCTCTGAGGATTGATTTTGTCCTCTTAGATTAGCATCCATATGGGTGCTTGAAAGAAAGAGTGTGCCTGGTACCTAAGAGAACAGGCTTTAATCTTGAATGTTTTAAAATCAGCTATCCCAAAGATCACTACTAATTCATTTAAGTATCAAACAAGCAGCCTCATCCCTAGGTCCAGACTGAAGAGGCTCCTATGGTTACAGTACATAGGTCCTTGCATGGGGAGAATGATCTGAGTAAGGGCAATGCAAGTAAGTACACGATTTTTCCGACATTAGTAACATCCATAAAGCTACAGGGAATAAAAAAGGCACCTCAAGTTGGAGCAATAGACTAACAGCCTTATCATCTAGGTTGAAAATAAAAACAAAACTAGAAAAACATTACTTCTTATAACTGTAATCTATAAATTGCAGTGTTTGTTAATACAAAAAGGGTACCAAGGATGAGCATCTAAGTCTAAGTCACTTGAGTGTTTCACAAAAAGTTACACTAAAAACTGTCACCCATCAAAGTGCAAAATAAAAGATTAATGCATGTCAAAATTAGAGTTCTTGCAATGTTGGCCAAATGCAGCAAACATGGCTGAACAAGGCCGTGCATGCACTGTCACTAGCTATGAAGTAGTACACGTGACAGACAGGTTCTGAGTAAATGACATATACTAGAGATTTGATGTGTGCAATAACATTTTTGTAAAAGAAAACGTTTTACAAAAGATATACTGAGTGAAGTCACCATACACTGATAAACATTTAACTGTATTAAATGTAAATGTTACCATGTCCTCTAGAAGACTATCGCTTTGCTTTTACTGAACACTACTTGTTAGAGCAGTGCATAGTGTTCCTTCAAGTGATTGTTTTTTATAGTTTCTTTCATGTCCCTACCATATGCTTTTACAAAACAGTGAATTATACTTTTTAAAAGTTGGTGGGACAAAGAAACTGGTACAAGCATAGCTTCTAGAGGAAGACTTTTTTTCACTTTTCATACTCTTATACTGATTTTCATCATGTGATTTATTTTTCAAAACAATTTAACTACAACAACAACAAAACTGTTGGAACAATAAGGCAAAAATATCTTCCAGTTTAAGAACAATGTGAAACTTCTAAATTGGGGCACAATAGTTACTCTCTATCTTTTACAACACTTTTGAGAGTTAATCACATGAACATGAATACAAACAAACGTGAATTCATCACAAAATACAAATGTATTGGTCACAATTATGTAGAAAAAAATAAGCTGTAATATCTGTTTTCCATGTAAGCTCACAGTATCAGTACAGAAAATTTCCCTAAAATTAAAACAAGTCCACTAATAATGTAATTGAAAACAATACTTCTGCACTATGAAACAGAAGATATGGGATTCAGAGGGGAGCCCATCTGAGTGAGGACTTTATCCAGCCACTGAAGAGGCCCATGAAGATGAATCTCAATCCAACATGGGGTGCTAGTAACATCCTGCCGGTGATATTCTGCGCCCCAGCCCTATGAAAATGAACAGACATCATAGAAAATCCCTCTTTAAATAGTCAACCAGTCTAAATCAATTTAAATAATACAAAGATACTTCACAGTGGTGATATACAGAACGAACTCAGAAAATTACTGTCACAAAACCAATCTTAGCATTCACCATGGAATTAAAAGCAACTCAGTAGCTGTATTACTGAAAAATATGTGTAATTCCCTTAGTAGAAATACAGCAAGATAGGTTTCACAATTCTTTTTCTTTTTCATTTTAGAAAGGTAACACAGTGCAAAACATAATCAAACCATTAATAGTTTTTACAGTGAGACAGAACCTCACTTAACAGGATAAATAAAAACCATAAATAGCCTTATATAAGTTCACATCATATTTTATTACCAAAAATGTTTGGTATTTAGATTTTAGAGTGATTTTTAATGCCAGATAAGACACTGTAGATCTGATTAATGCAGGCAAGTATAATTAAAATGGCAATCACACAGCTATTAGTCTTTGAGATGGGAAATTAGTAGGATAAATTGAGCTGAAACACTTTAGCCTAAAACTCCAGATGCAGATTAAAATAGTTTTTTTTTACTTTGATTTCCCTTGGTTTATCGAGTTCTTAACTATCACTTATAGTAATACTGGCCCAGGAAACTTGGGCAGGTGTGTGAGGAGGTAGGGGTAAGGGACAGAATTTAATACAGAAAGGGAAAATGCCTTCAGGGCTACTGATAGATTAATTCATATAATAATATGCCTAGAGCAAAGCATCCAGAAAACACTGAACCACTAGTATTGAATGCCAAAGAAGAAAAAAAATCTTCAGATGGTAGTGACAGTTGTTCTTCTTTGGCTAAACCCTTAAGGTCCACAAGGATATATTACACAGGTTGCTTAACTATATCACTAAAAATCATGAACTACCATCATCTTCAGAACACAAAATCAGGCCAAGAGTATGTGATACTTTTGAAAATTTCCTTGAACTTTTCAAATCTTTAATAACAAAGTCTTGATACAAGTAAAATACTTATAGTACTCTAAAGAATTAAGTCACTCTAATAGGACCTAATAGTAATTGAAATTTCTGAAGCTAAGTAACTTAAAAAATTTAATATTAAATGCTTCCTAGTAACTTAGTCTTTAAAACTTTTTAAAAACTCAGCCCCCACTCAATATGCAGTACCAAACCAGTCTCAATAACATGTATTCTATAATGTCTGGGTTATAAAATAAAAACTTAGGCTTATCAGGTGAAAGTGACAGATTCAAGGTCTTCACTTTAAAGCTTATTAAATCAGGTTAAAAGTAATTATCACCTTACATTTAACACTTTTCAAAAATTATATCCTACAGACATGTAATATACATATTCATAGTGACTCAAATTAAGCTACAAAGCATAAGCCACTCACCTTGACAAAACTCATTCGAATAGTACACATTTTGGTGAGCTCATATACTGCCTCAAATCCATGGTTGACAGACTGGGCCAAAAGTTGAGCAAACTCTTGATTGTTAAAAATTTTGAGGCTGCAGCTGCTGGGAATCTTACACACCGTGGTGGGATGAAAGCCATGATGAAAGTTGCAGTTCCTACTCTGTACAAATATGCTGCTGTCACTGAGGCACTCTGCATATACCTCTCCGCCGACATAGTACAGATGAACACCTTAAAAAGACAGGGTGTCGAGAGCCAACTTAACAAAGCAGTACTATGAAATCAAAGAGGCTGTGTGAGGGCAGACAAGAACGCCCACTAATTTATAGCAAAACGTCCTCAGAAGCTACCACTAGGTGGCCTTACACTGCCAAGAATCATCAAAAGGTTAACAGTCTGTCAAACCTATAGTTTCTCAAGTAAGTTCAACCTATTAACGTTCAAGTTGACAGCATTATTTTATACCAGTTCTTAGTTTTCTTTCCTTTTCCAATCATCATTCATCAACTCTATGATAAAAAGTAATGGCAAATAAAAATACAACAACTCAAAAAGCACTTCATGCTTTCTGGAACACTTGGTCTATAAGCTATGACAGTCATACTTGGTTAAGAGTTTTTAACTCATTACCAGTGCAAAGGACAATAGAAGTAAAAACAAAAATATTAAGTCATATATGGAATTTCAGGGCAAAGGAAGAGCTTCTTAATGACATGGTTTATTTTGCTTTAAAAACTATTTTTGATGAAAAAAACTATTTTTGTATTTAAAATACATACATAAGTAATAATTTTACAGTAAATTCAGTATCGATCCTAAAAATTCAAATTATATAGCTAGAGCTATACAGCTAAAATTCAAGTTATACAGTACAGAAAATGACCAAATTCAACTGACTGTAGGGAAAATAACAAAATTACCTCTTCCCAACTTTACTGCAAACAGGGCTAAAGACCAGCTTGTACATACATACCTCTATACACAGATGCATCATGCGATAATGCAAACTGCACTGTGTTTTTGAACAAATAAAAATGACCCAGGAAAGAAAAGATTCTACAACTATACGTCCAGAAAAAGAGAAAAATAAATTCTACAATTTAAGAAGTAGGTTTCTCTTAAATTATTCTACTGTGGTGTAAAAATTAATGCATAGAGGTGAAGTGTTTCACCTAAAACATCATGGCAAGTTGATACTAAAGTCAAAAGAGAATGGAAACTTTCTTTACAACTTATTTTTTTGCCAAAATACTTTTTTCTGGATCTCATCTGTAAAAAAGAATATCACAATCATAGTTATTTTACCTTTTGTTAATTTGGACTAAGACTTTCTCATGTCAAAGAAGCAAAAAGCAGCACTGAAAATGAAAATTTTTAAGAGTCAGGTAATACACTCTTCCTGAGTAGGTTTCCTTTCTAACCACTTGAGGACATATGAGATTCTGACATTACACTGCACTGCAGTATGAAAAGTTTGTTTGTTATAGCAATTATCTTGAAGGATACATTATAAATGAAACCTTGTTACCTGAATTTAAAAAGTAGGAGTGGTGGTAACCAGTTAAGTGAAGACCTTATGCCATTCAAATTGAACTTCCTACCTTTAACTGTTCCTCCAAGATAATGGAGATTCTTGGAGTCATCGCAACCTAAACAAAATGCTTCACAAATAACATCAGCAATAAAATTCTACTCCTTTACCACCATTCATGCCATCCACAAATCTCTCCTTATGTATATTTACTAAGAGCCAGGGATTACGCTAGCTGCCAAGAATATCTTGAAAAAGTAAAATACTGATAGAGTTTATATTACAGCAAGAAGAGTCTCAAAAAATAAAGGTGGAAATATTATGAAGAAAAACTAAGCAGAATAAGGAAACTATAACTGATTTACATCTTTACTTAATATAGTCTTCAACACCTGCAACAGAGAACAGAAATCAAATTTAAATTTCATTTTATGTTTGTTACCTTACACAATGCACAATAAATGACTGACTGCAACTGACTGCTGGGAAGTGACAAGATTACCTTTTCCAATATGTCGTCTAGTGTTTTCAATTGTTGAATTCCTATTAACGTTTGACAACAACCCCAAGCAGAATCTACTTTTGTTGTTTGAAGGATCTGTGAATCCATCCACTAACACACTAGTAGAAGATGCATGAAAAGCCTCCCCAACACGATTGTTCAATTCATAATAGACAATTGAACACCAATGTTTAGGCTCCTCATAGGCAACTGGCTGAACATCTGTGAACAAACCAGGAAGAAAATATATTAATGAGTGATTCTTTTAACCCAATCTGAGAAATTTCACTTAAGTTGCATTACCCTTCCTGCTTTGAGTCCTTATCCAAAAAACAAATATGAGAAATGCTTAGAATAAGGCAATTTTTTAAATTCTACAAATAAAAAGACAAGTGACATCTCATTTTAAATAATTTTTTGTAGCATAATCTAATCCAGTTTTAATTGAAGATGCTGGGTCTCTCTGGTTGCACAGGAGTTAAGACTTGGTGCTGTCAAGCTACTGCCAGCCACTGCAACATGAATTTTATCCCCTGCCAGGGAACTCATCCACATGGCACTGTAGACCTTTCTTGTCTCGCCCGCTGCAACCCGCAGCAGGTCCACCTGTTCAGCTCCCAACTCTTGTCTGGTGAATCCTTTCACCCCCTAAATGTCTGGCCTACACCCTAGTTCTTGTATGTATAAATAAATACATCTTTAAAAAAAAATACTGAAGATGCCATATATCTCAACTATTCAAATTTTTTAAAAAATCACTTTAATAAAAATTACAATAAAAAATCAAGTTGAGATTCTCAACAAAGTAGGAATAGAAAGGAATTTACTCAATCTGACAAAGCTTTATAGAAAACTCAGCTAGCATCCTATTTAATGGTAAGAAACTAGAAGCTTCCCAACTAAATCAGTTAACAGGGCAAAAAGTATTCTCACTATTCCTTTCAGCCAACATACTGAAGTCCTAGTTAAAACAGCTTAAGACAAGAAAAGAAAAAGGATAGAGTGGGAAGAAATAAAACTCTCACTGATCACAGATATTACTATACATATAAAAATTCTGAAACAAATGACCAAAAACTCCTCAAACAAGTAAGTAAAAAAGACTGTAGGGTAGGTGGTTAATGAAAAGAAGTATATAACTTTCCTATATACTAGCAATGAACAAGTGAAATTTCAAATTAAAACTCATTACCATTTAACCATCAGAATATAAATGTAAAAATCAAACAAAAGAGGGCTCTCCCTGGTGGCACAATGGGTTAAAGCAAAGCACTTATGAAGCTCTCCAAAGCCACTGCAGCACAAGTTCGAGCCCCGGCCAGGGAGCTGACCTGCGTGATGCTCCCCTCAGCAGTGTACTCTGTCAATTTGCCTGTTCTGCTCTCCACTCTGTCTCTGGTGAATCCTCCCAGACTCACCCACCACATCTCTGGCCTGTACCCCAGTTCTGTAAGCATAATAAATCTTAAAAAAAAAAACAAAGAAGGGAAAAAAAATCAAACAAAAGAGGTATAAGACCTCTATCAGAAAAACTATTAATAATCAGAAAAAGTCAAAGAGCTAAATAAATGCAGGAATATTCCATATTTATAGGCAGGAAGTCTCAATATGGTCAAGATGATAGTTCTTCCCAACATGCTTTTTATAGATAATATACAGTATCAGTCAAAATCCCAGCAAGGTATTTTGTAACTAAAATGAACCTAACATTAATATTGAGAAGCAAAGACCCAGAAGAGCCAATATGATACTGAGGAAGAACAAAACTGGAACTACCCAACTTAAAGGCTTACAGTAAAACTACAGTAAATTAAGACAGTGTAGTACTATGAATGAAAAGACAAGTAGATCAAAAGAACAGAATAAGGAACCCGGAAGTAGACCCATTTAAACATAGTTAATTGATCTTTGATGAAGTTAAAGGGCAATCATGGAGAAAAGTCTTTTCAAGAAATGATATTAAAACAACTGAAATTCAAATGCAGAAAAATGATAGAACAAGAGCCCCCAAAATTTATGAAACAAAACCCAACAGAAATAAAATCATTTGCAAGTTATCCCACTCTGTAATTGACAAAACAATCAGGAAGAAAATAAGCAAGGGTTCTGAAGACTTGAACACTTAAATACAATCTACTTGATCTAACCAAAATCCCCACAAGTCAAATGACACAATACACAATGTTTTTCAAGTACACATGGAATAATCTCTAAAATATACCATATGCTCTGCCAGAAGATGGCAAACTTTCTCAGCCCACCAAACTAGCTGATTATGAAAAGGATTATATGCCAATACCAATTAATTATTTTATGTTTTTCAGGCCATGTACTATCTCTCTCATATACTTCCATCTTTCTGTAACAGCCTTTCAATAATCTACAAAACATTCTCAGGTCACAGGTTGTACAAAAGTATGTATAAACAAGTCTCAACTAGTTTAAAAGACTGAAATCATACACAACATGCTCAATGCCCACAAAGGAATTATTAGGGATAATCAATAGAAATTTTGGAAACCCTTAAGTATCAATATTTGGAATTGAATAACATGCTAATAAATAATCCAGGGGTCAAAGGAGAAATCGCAAGGGAAATTTTTGAAACATTTTGAATTGAAACAAAACATATCAAAAGTTATGGGATGCAATTAAAATCAATTAAGAGGAAAACATCATTTTGTTTTAAGTTCCAAACAAAACAAATCAATAGCCTAAGATTCCACCCTTAAAAAATTTACAAAAAAGGCCCTCCCTGGTGGCGCAGCAGGTTAAAGCGCAGCACCGAGAAGCTAAAGCCACTTCCGCATGAGTTTGATTTTATATACTTTACTCTATCAATAGTAAAAAGGACCCAAAATACCCACATGAGCATATCAACAGATACAGAAAATTGAAGAAAACAGTTTACAGGATAGCCCCTCCAGAACAATTCAAGTATTGAGAGCAGACATTCTTGCCTTGTTCCCAATGACGGGGAAAGCAAGTCAATCTTTTGCCATAGAATATGGTGATAGCTATGTTTTTCATACATGCCCTTTAATAATAAGAGAGAGATGTTAAAGTCATCCATATTGGAGAACAAAAAGGTTGGGTTTTGTTGTTTTTTTTTTTTTTTTTTTTTTGTAATAGAAAACATGCTCCTATTTTTAGAAGGTTGAGCAAAAGTACCTAACAAACTAAGTACTTAACAAATCCATGTTAAGAACACACAAAAACACACAAAAATATCTAACAGAAAACATTAATTCAGCAAGGTTACATGTTACAAGATCAATAAAATTCAACTGTATTTCTATATACTAATAAAAAGAATCCAAAAATGAAATGTTTTTAAACTCCATCCACCTAGGAATAAATTTTAAGAAAGTACAAATAGATACAAAGGACTCATATATGAATACCAGGAAGATAAATAAAATGGAGAGACATTCCACATCTGTGTACTGGAAGATGATAATGAACTCCCCAAACTGATTTAGAAATTTAGTGTGATCTCTAGCAAAACCCAAGGAGGGAATTTTTGGAAAGGTAGGGAAGAAACTGACAAGCTAATATTAAATCAAAGAAAAATGCAGATAGCCAAACAATTCTGAAAGCAAAAAAGTGGAAGATTAATACTTCTAATTAAAACCTACCAAAAAGATTTAATAATTAAGACTTATGATCTGAAGATATGAACAAAACTGTCTTGAAATAGGTGGATTCATTTTTTTAAATTTTATTATATACATCAATATATACATATATATCAATAAATATACATCTATAAAAGTATTTTTTACAGTATCCAAGAAGTTAAAACAAAAGCAGCAAAATAAATGTGATATTCCTCTTACCTCTGCTGGATATGCTGGGCATTATCTGAGGAATCATATTATTGCTTGTATCCATGGGTTGGGAATTATCTTGACCCATTTGATCATCTGGTGGCATATAGGCAGGAGGAGGAGTATCAGCTAAGAAGACATTCAGACAAGTTAAAAGTACAGTCAGAAGTACAGTTAGTCTTCATCTTTCTTTAAGTTATTACTATAAAAGCATTTTAAAATTCTTATTACTTGCAGGGTTCATTACTGAACACCATCCAAACAACAATGGAGGATGCTATCTTAGGGCAAGAGGGGAATAAAGATGGCACAACCAAAAGCTGCTGAAAATATACTGCAAGTCCACACGTATGGGGGTCCAGATCCCTGACAATCCAGAATAGTTAGGTTGGTGCTAAAATTTGCTTCAATTCATAGTCAAGAATTCTGTGTCTTTATTTACTTAGAATCATATGTGGGGGAAAACTGCAACTACTATGCATCAAAGTGAACGATACAGATTATGTTAGTTTGGAGTCGTATCCACAGAGATACTTCTAAATTATCAGGATAATCACATATGATATAGTTATTTAAAACTGAAAACTAAAACTATGACCCTATAAAATTTGCTAGTAATACTAGCAACAGTTGTTTCAGAACATCAGTTATGTCTTTGTTTCATAATCATAAATAATGAATGTAATGTCTTTCACCCCAAGATTTTACAATATACATTTTGAGACAAGTGACAATCAGCAGTGAATTCAGACAAACTATATGAAGTCATTTTTCAACAGATACTGAATAAGAAGGCAAGCAGTTGGTATGTAATTTCCCTTCAAAAACACCAAAAGTTCATCAGTTGATATGCAGAGAAACAACAAGGAATGCACTTAAATATGACTTTTACCTGCCGAAATTAAGTGTTCAAATATTTGACAATGTAACAAAATTTAGTAACTTTATGACACCTACTTCTCATTTCAGGCAAATAACCTAACTATGTCTAAAATGATTTGATCAGCTATATATAATTAGTAGTATAGTTAACAGAAAACAAAATTTAGAGTCAGACAAACCTGGGTCTGAACCCCCTCTAATATTTGCTGTGTGGCCTTATACAAGGTACTTAAACTCTTGGGGTTAACGTAAATTTCTTACCATCTGTAAAATAGTAGTAATATCTTACATGGTTGTTGTAAAGATTAAATTGAATAGCTTTCATCAATCAGTTATCTAAAAGGCACTCAAATGGTACTTAATGTCATGAATTATATGAAATATTTTTTAGTCAAATATGGGTGCTCTGATTTATGTTTTTAAATCTATAATACTTGGCATAATAAAACCCAAAATTCTTCTGGAAATTAAACAAATATCAAAGGATATAGAGGCAAAAACAGCTAGCTCTTGGCATATGTAACAGTCTACCCAGAAGGGCAGATTATCAGGATTCATTTTATATGAATAAAATAATTTCTTACCAGGGAGCTGAAATGGACTTCCTGGCCCAGAGCTTGCTGGGGAGTTGGGGTATGTGCTGCTAGCAGGAGAAGGTGGGTAGGGGCTATTTGGAGATAAAGGAAAAGGAGTGTTGTTGGGCTGGTGGAAAGAATCAGGAAAGGTCGCATTCTGTGGCATGTGCGGTTCATTGTGGCTTAGGTTCCTAAATTGAACCAGAAGGCTGTGTTGTGGATTGAATTCATTATGACGAGGCACTAACACTGGAGGTAAGACTGCAAGACAAAAATCAAAAGTCATTTGTCAGCAATGACAAAAACAAATATCCCACACAATTAAGAGGCAGATTCCACTAAGACTATAAACGTATTAAAACTACTTACTTTTAAGAAGGGATTCTTTGCAGAACCTTTACATGGTAATTAAACCAAAAAAACTCCCTAGGGATTTAACCTTTATAAAGTACTCTGGTAGACAGAAAAACCCAGAATACACCACTCCTTTTCTCTAGGAGATAAAACATTATTCAAAATAAGCATAGTACAAAGAACTTAATGCAGTCAAAATTCAAAAGAAGATTGTATCTTAAAGAACTGGTAAGATTTCACATGGGAGGGTTAAAGGTGAGGAGACAGACAAGGAGATAAGATTCCAGGAAGAAAATAAGGGTATGTAGTTGGCCTAATAAATGCAGTAGGAGATATGACCAGAGTGAAGCTGGGATCAATTATGTAGATGCCCCAAAGCCTATGTGTTACGGGTTTTGAATGTTTCATCCTTTAATTAGAGAGACTTCACATTTTTATATTCTTCAGTAAAATTTTCTGAAAATAGTAACATTCCCTTGATAGAAGTCTTCTACTTTAAATCAGTTTTCGAAACATCACCAAATGAAATTAAGTACAACAAAGTCTTAAAAGTTAACATTTAAAGATTTTTTTAAAATACAAACTTCAACCTTACACTCAAACACTCACTTTCTCAAAGTATTATCACCTTTTCTTAAAGGAGATGGAAAGAAATTGATTCATTTATATTCTGACTGTCCCAATTCATCTTTTCCAACTTTACTGTATCTATCAGTATAATTTCACTTCAGAAAATCTCAGTTTGATGCAGACATCATTTAACAGCAACAAAATCAATCTATTTTTAAGTTAACTAGGTCACACATTCTCTCCCTGAAATAGAGATGTACTTGAGGAATCAGAGGCTAAGTCAGCATTTACACAGTGTTTTTCTTTTCATTTTTACTAAATCTTTGTTGTAATTATATGGTTAACATCTGACTACAGTTGTTCTATTCTACTGCACACTGCCAACTGTTGATCACTTCAAAGAATAATGGCACAATGGAGAACAGGGCATTAGACAGTAAAAATGTCTATGCTTCAGCAATCTGAAAGACCTAGTAAAATAACCAGTTAGGGACTGTTATACATTTTTAGCGGCAAAGATAAAAAAAGTATTAGCTTCCTTCTGACTTGGACATCATCTGTGCAATACATATCACATTTTTTAAATGTTATTTTATGTTCATCCAAAATAATGCATGGAGTTTAAAAAGACAGATGTTACATGAGATTAAAACAAAGATGGCAATTTCTAAGTGTCTTTTCATATTGCTTGCGGAAACAAAAATAAATCCTTAGCCACGTCTTCCAACATTTAACTTTCTGCTAAATAATACTTACAGGGTTACTACCGACTTCTCAAGGCAGTATCTGTAGAGATATCTGTATCTGTTAAGGCTAATGAATAGTTTGCTCATATTATTTATACCATTCTAATTTCCCTTTCCCACAATAAAGTTACATAAAATAATTTGACTAAATTCATACCCAGCACTGAAGTTATATATATAAACATACATATATACAGTATTCATTGCTGAGTCAAGTATGCACTCTGGTTATATTTTTTCTGGGACAGTAATGTTATTAAAGTTAATTACTGCCTTGTTTCTTCATTTACTTAATCTTAGGTGTATACCACTAATATTTCCAAGAATCCAATAGATCTGCCAAATTCTATGTCAATAGGATTTCAAAGGCAAAACTGTTTTTTAGATGCCATAAATCAATAAGTGTTAAGGGGAAGGATGTCCTAAAAATAAAAGAACTCTGCAGAGTCTTGTGGACTCCACCCCTACTCTTTCTGGATTCCACCCCCCCCCCAACTCCAGTGCTTGGAAAACTACAACTCCCAGCAGCACCAAGGAGAAAACTGTGAGGACCCGAGGGTGGAGCTAAGTAGGAATTCTGGGACTTTGGGGGATAAATAGAGTGGTTTTCCAACTGAAACTCTGGAGAGATAACAGTTCTCTCTCTCTGAAGCAACTGCTCTCAGACCATATGACTGGGGCTAGCAGTGTTAGTTTGGGACTAGAGCTCCAAGTTAGCCACTCCGGTCAAGTATCCCAGCTACTTTGTATCCCTCTCTCTTACCCTGGGTTGTTTCCTTTTCTTTCCCCCTTTTTTTGGTAATAAACCCATTACCCTTTCTGTGTGTGCCTGCAGAAAATTACATTTTGAGTGTGAGGCCCCACAGACAGGCAGCCCAAGTCCACTCTGGGTTACCCTGTAACACAAGTAATCTATTGACTACATCCCCCCACCCTCAAGTCCACCTTTCTTTCACTACACCGATATTGATTGCTATGTAAATCTTCTACATATATGAAGTCCTGGGCCTTCCCTTCCCTTTTCTCCTATTAGATACATTTCCAGAGCCTCATCCTCTATTAAGTTCCTAAGAAAAAAAGGGTATAAGGAGTTGAATCCTTTCACACATGAAAAGTGTCTTTATCTATAGACAGATTCTGGAATATTCCCCCTCCTGACCCCCACTTGCAGGGTTTGGGTATGAGCTACTGTTTCATTTCCTTCCAGAATCCAGAACTGCATTGAGAAACCAAAAATTCTAATTTTCAATCCTTTGTAAATATCTGGTCTTTTTTCGCCAAGAACTTTCAGAATCTTTTCAAAATCTGTAAAACTAAAATTGTTGTGGGTCATTTTCTATCTCTTGTTCTGATACTATATAATTCTCTTGGCCCTTTCCATTATTGCCAATTCTGGGACTGTTCTAAATTTTTTTTTTTTTTTTAAATATCCTCTCTGTCATTTTTCCTAGGCTCCATTTACTAGAATGGTATGAGACTTATTCTGAGTCAGTTTATAAATCACTTTTCATGCATTAAAGTATCTACTCCTTACCACACACTTATATAGATGTTAATTCTCATTTTAAAGATGAGAAAACCAAATCATGGAAAGACTAAGGAACGTGCCTGCAGTCAGACAGGTAGTACTGGTAAAATCAGGGACCAAATCCAGAAAGACTAGCTCTAAGACACAGTCTTAACCATTGGATAATGCTACCTATTAGGCACCGGAGCACCTGGATTAGCCCTCTGTTTTCTTTATCACTTCTCAACTATCTTCTACAGTAAGCTCTTTAAAATACTGTTGGTGCCACAATAACTAGGTGATCTTGTAAGCTATACCCTTACTAAGTCTCAATTTCCTGAGCTTCAAACTTACTAGTAAACTTACAGGATTCCAAAATATGAGCATATTTTTTTAATCCTATGATGGGATAACCTGTCAGAGGTAATAGTGCCTAGCTTTTAAGTGTTCATTAAATGTTAACTATCATCACTACTTTAACTTTATTATACTAGTGCTATAAAGTGATCCATCCTATTAGAGAGGGTTGATTAGCTAATTTAAACCTATCAGAACTATGACCCAGGATTTTCTACAAGATGATTGAAAACTAAAATAAAAAGTGAATTACAAAAGATAAGATTTCTATTGCTTGATTATTAGCCACATTCTACCTACAGAAGTATGTACTAAAATCCTAGACTTCAATTTCCAGCAACTCCTAGAAAGTTTGGAACTTCTAGATTACACTTCTTTATTAAATCCTCCCATCCTCCTCTCTTCATCAATTCGTTTAGGCTACAATTTTTTCTGGACTCACTAATTTGAGCACCATCTCAAATATCAAGTCACAGCTATAAATCCTTTAAACTGAACCTTCCTTTACAGCACCGCTACTGTAACTCTACCTAGTCTCCACATCCAATGTTACATTCATAGTCTTTTTACTGTAGTGGGGTTAGGTTCTCTCCACATTATATCCAGTATGACAGATGCTAAGGTGACCACCACTATTCCCATCCTCCTCATTTATTTACACTAGTGTCATTCCCTCCTTGTGTGTATATTATTTGTTTCTAACCAATATAATACGGTAAAGGTAACAGGAAGCACAAGGTGACATTCATAAAAATTTAAATGCCCTTCTAGTAAGATCAACCTCTCTACCTTACTTGTGTTCAAGAGTAAGTTGCTATGAAATGATCCACTTATGAAGAGGATCATGTGGCCAGGCAGCCTCCAGTCAATAACCAGCAAGAGTCCAACAGCCTTCAAGAGCATAAATGCTGTCAACAATAACGTGAGCTGGGAAGCAGATCCTTCCCTAGCTATCTTAGGTAAGACCCAGGCCCTGACAAACACCTGATTACAGCCTTGCAAAGGATCCATTTAAGTTTGAACTCCTGATCCCAAGAAACTGAAAGAATAAATATGTGTTGAGCTAATAAGTCACTAACCTTGTGGTAATTTGTCATGGAGCAATAGATAACTAATGCACCCAGTCAATATTTCATATTAGACAATTAATTTATAACAACAAAAATATTTTATTGGGCATCATTACCTAAGTGCCAGGTAATAACACTATTCTAGAGATAAAGAATGAGACAGAGGAAGGTAACACTTATGTCATTTAATAAACAAATGTCTAACATTGAGTAAAGTAGTGATGGGGTATTTGGGCAAAGACTGAACACAGTGACATGAAAGCTAGTGGAAGAAGAGTACTCTAATTAGAGGAAACAAGGAACAGAGGAAGTTTGAGCAAATATTGATAAGGTTTGATATACAATCCCAAAATTACTCTAGCTGCTGTGTAGAAAGCAGAAAGGGCTAGAGGAAAAAAAAAAAAGTCAAGAGACACTAATGAAAAGACTACTTACAGTGAATGATGACGGGAGACAGTAAGGATGATATTATCAAGATACAGATTTGAAGGCACAGCATATAACGTGTTCATAGTTCAAGTATAGGACTTAAGAGTGAAAAATAAAAGATGACATATAGTTAGCAATTACATGAAAACAAGAACCATGTGCTTCAATAAGGAAAACTGCAGAGAGAAATGACTTATTGGGGAGAGGGTGTATAAAGTGCAGTTTAGACACATCAAATGTGTTTTCTAAATATACACCTGGAGATGTCAAGTAGGCAAGTAGATACAGAGGTGTAAAACTCAAAGGAGAAAAGGACTCTGGAGTTCAAAATATGGTATTAGTTTATATGGCTATAAGACGTTTTGACACCATGGAAGCAAACAGAGGAAAAATAAACATGGAGGAAAAGACCAGGCCTATGCCCTGAGAAACTGTGAAAACAGGAAAATAAGTCAAAAAGAGACTACATATAGCAGAACAGGAGAGTGCAATGTTTCAGAAAGCAAGAAGGAAAAAGTTTTGAGTGAGTGGGAGGGAAAGCAAGCAAGTATATCAAATGATGCTAAGATCAAGTATCTGAGGACAGAATGACCCCTCTTCCATCCGTAATAAGGCTTCAAGTGATCTTGATATAAGCCATATAGTAGGAAGAAAAACAAACTGAAGGTATCAAGAAAGAATGTAAAGTAAAGCAGAGATAATACACTCTCGACTCCTCTAGAGTGGCTAGAAAAGAGGAGACAGTATATTGGGGCTTCCGTGTGAATGAGATCAAGATAGGAAATCATTTTTCTTTTATGACTCAGATTTTATTTTAAAATTCATCATACACAAACTGCAGCTATAGTAAGATGTCTATTAAATGTAATATTCCTAACTTCGTCAAGGAAATCATTTTAACTTATTTTAGAATATGTACTATCATCACATTTTTGCATGCTGTCACAAAGAATGTAGAAGAGAAGGGAAATACAATGCTGGAGAGAGGGTGGTAACTGTTGGAACAAAGTTCTTGAACTGACAAAATGTGTGGAATGTAGTGCAGATGGAAGTTAGGTCTTAGGTAAAGAAGGTCACTACAGGAAAGGTGGAATGTGCGTGACTGCTCAGAGTTAACAGTGAACTTTACTAAGTTACTTAGGAGCTGCATCATCTATAAAAAGCTAAATTAAAAATCTAGCATTCCTTACAAGATTAAAATCTTTAAACAATAAACAAGGTTAATATAACGGTCAATCACTAAATTCAGTTAAAAGCAAATCAGGAAGAGGAAGTTTGGTGGAGGTTGTTTTTTATAACCCTTTTAAGGGCAGTAAAACCTACCTGGACTCTCCACTCTCTTATAGTGGTATGGGTTGATACACACTTCTTTTTGCTTAGATCCAAAAGGAAATTCACAAATATCCAATGGCTTTAACTCATGATGACTCTGCAGATCAGGCCATCGCCAAACCCGACAATATATAACATGGGGTAAGCCTTTTCTGTGAGAAACCTGTAGGCGTCCATCTAAAGACCTGGGAATAGTGACACATTTGCTTGGCTGTCCTGGGCTGCTCAAGGCTTTCTCCAGCTCTTCCATGGCACCCTTTTTCTTTTTTAGCTTTTTCACCAAAGCATCAACTGCCTTTTCTGCCCATTTCTCCTCCTCATCACCTTGCTTCCAGCCCAATAATCGCTTTACTGCTGGACTAGTAAAAGAAAACAAGCTGGCCATTGACGTCATTTGATATAATCTTCAGACACCTTCCTGTAGCTCAAAGTCAGTGACTATTGAAAGAACAGTTCACAGATGAAAAGTCATAACACAGATCCTAAGCAGAAGTTCCAATTAAAAAGGGAGGAGTGACGTTTATCTTTGTAAGTGCCATAAGCTTCTTTCATTGGTTCAAGTCCTGAAAAGAGAGAAAGATCAAGAGTAAGCTTCCTACTTTAAATGAATGCAATTTCCATACATTTAAATTAATATAATTTTAAAAAGTATGTTATTTCTAGGAGCAGAACAAGTACTAAGTTAAATTAAAAAAAAAAAAAAAGAAAGAAACACCCTAAGCCTGGAAAGAAATTTTCTTTAAATGTGATCTCTCACTTCCTTCTTTGTAACATTAACAAGTAATTCAAGTCCCCAGAGGTTTGGTTCAAAACTGCTTTTCTTTATTGAAACCCATGTTATGTGCTGTCAATTCTGGAACATATGTTCTGACCCACCCACATTTCTTAAGAGAAATTTATCTCTTCTATAAGCATTATTCTCTTCAAAACGTGTCAGATTTAAAAGGTCTGGGTAAAAGTCATGGTACTATCAAGTCATATTCATTAGGTACAGCAAACTTTCAATTAAATCTTTACACACAACTGCTACAAAAACGATAAGTATCTATTTTTAAAATTAGGAATACAGGCCCTCCCTGGTGGCGCAGCGGATTAAAGCACAGCACTGAGAATCTAAAGCCGCTTCCGCATGAGTTCGGCTTCCGCATGAGTTCGATTCCCACCTGCCCCGGAGGTGACCACATGGTGAGGCAGACCTCTCCTGACCCGCCCAGACCTCTCCTGACTAGCCCGCTGCTCCCCTCGGCAGTGTACTTCGTCGATCTGCCTGTTCTGTTTCCCACTCAGTCTCTGGTGAAGCCTCTCACTGCCCCTGAGCCTCTGGCCTGTTACCCCAGTTCTGTATGCACAAATAAATAAATCTTTAAAGAAAAAAATTAGGAATACAGAAAATATTTAAAGAAAAAAAATTAAAAGTTTAATCCCTTCAACAGTGTATTTCAGTCAATCTGCCCTTTCTGCTCCCCACTGTGTCTCTGGTGAATCTTTTCACACATACAACCCCCACCCCTAGCCCATCTGGCCTATACCCCAGCTGTATGCATAAATAAATCTTTTTTTAAAAAAGAAGCTCTTAGCAAAGATGAGGAGAGGAAATGATATGCATGGTATTCCCCTGCGAAGTGGAGTAAAATCCCCTATGGTCACTACATAGCCAACTACAGACAATGAGCTAGGAAGATAGCAGGAAAAATATTTGGGAAAGAATGTCAGTAATAAAAGATGCTACCAAATAATGTTACAGCTCTCTTGCACAAATTCTAGCATCAAGACTATTCTGTATTGGAGAGCCAACTATACTGAAAAGAACACATGCACAGTTTAAGCCAAGGTAAATATATAGTAAAATGAAACCAAATTTAACAAATTATTATTTGCTTGTTATGTGTCATATATGTGAATAGCCAAAGTACTGCTTAAAAGATGAACAGAAGTTTCATCTTAAAAGCCAACAAATTCATCAATCAACACTTATTTAAGAGTATTAAGAGCCAGGCAATGTTACTGACTCAGATGTAGCAGCAGTAGTTCTTCAGATTGCTAGGTTCACACCTTGGGGGAAAGAGCAGGGCAGTGAGGTACAGTCCTTATGTGTGAATGGATACACCTTCTGCCTTGTCTTCCTCAACCTTACATAGGATGATTTTTGCCAGGTAAGCAAAGCTGGGAGAAAGTGCAGAAAAATTTATAAACAGTGTATCTTCAAGAACTTTCCTTATCAATATAGAGTTTCCACATTCTTTCTACCACACAGAATTTCACCTTAAAAGTAATCTTAGGGCCCACCCTGGTGACACAGCAGGTTAAAGCACAGCAGTAGGAAGCTAAAGCCACTTCAGCATGAGTTCAATCCCTGCCCCAGAGGTGATCCACATGGCGAGGCAGACCTCTCCTGACCTGCCCGCTGCTCCCCTCAGCAGTGTACTTCATCAGTCTGCCTGTTCAGCTCCCCGCTCTGCCTTTAGTAAATCCTCTTACCACCCCTGCACCTCAGGCCTATATGTATATATAAATAAATCTTTAAAATAAAAAAGTAATCTTAAATATAGCAAGGGAATGAAAGCACATTTTTCAGTAGCAGATCACAGAATCTGATGAGATATGCTGAACAAGCCATAAAAGGAATGACCTCAGTTGTAGCTCTATCAAGGACACAGAATAAAAGTCATCCATCTGGGTCACAGAAAGGGTCTGAGACAAGAAGAGAAATTACAAAAGCAAGGGGACACAAGCAAAATACATGCAGACAGACACGAATAGACCATTTCCTAGGATAAAGAGAAAATAAGGCTGCCTAGCAGATCTTATTCAACAAAAGTGAAATACAAGGCAAGCTAGCAATACAGTACATGTATGTGCGACAGCTTGTATGAACAATAGAGTAATGTAGAGAAATGGGAGAAAAAAAGAGTTTGACAATCAAATAGCACAGCAGTTAACCACTAGAACATTCTTAATATATGTCAATTACTCATTTAGTGTCAGCATCATCAAGTACTAACCATATCATGCAGCAATGAGAAAAAAAGGGCAGTTATTTTATACACAAACAGAAGAAAAAAGACTACATACTAAAATATTCATTATGATTATCTATCTCTGGGGCAAGGCATGGAATGAGAGTAACAGGGGTTCTGCCTGATTTGTCTTATATATTTCTGCATCACTTTAACCATTTAAAATAGGGAATCCATCAACACACTAAAATAAAATAGCAAATAATCTAAAATAAATTATGGTAAACAGAATGAAGTTGTGAGTGCCAGTACAAAAAGCAGGTGAAATATGTGCTATTAGAAGTCAGGATGATGATCAACCTCTGAAGGGAAGGACAGACTTAACTATGAGAGCTTCAGAGTCTTGGTTAACCCTGATAAATTCTCTCTTCACTCCAAGTTATGATATAGGGTGAGTTCAGTTAGTGAAAATTTAGCGGGCTGGCTACTTACGACGTTTTCTGTGTGACTTTTAAAGTACCTTCTTGATATATAAAAAGCTAATGTGGTCAGTTTCCTTCCTATTTTTCTCCCTGTTAGTGGTTCTCCTTCTCACAAATAATCCCTTTTATATCCTTCCAAAAATATTTTACACAAAACAAGCAAATACAGTATACATATAACACATATCCATGCATTTATAAATACATATTTATCTGATTTTACATAAACAATGGCAATTGGGGAAAAAGTGCAGGAAAATTTATAAACAATGTATCTTCAAGATCTTTCCTTATCAATAGTTTCCACGGAATTCACACAGAATTTCACCTTAGAAGTAATCTTTTTTTAAAAGAGGTTTATTTATAATATACATACAAGAACTAGGTACAGGCCATTAAGTGTGGGGGGCCAAGAGGCTTCACCAGAGACAGAGTGGGGAACAGAACAGGCAGATGGGACTGAAATACACTGCTGAGAGGAGCAGTGGGCAAGAGAGAAGAGGTCACCTCCCTGGCTGGGGATGGAACTCCTGCTACAGTGGCTACGAATAGCTTCATAATGCTGTATTTTTAACCCCTTCAGACACCAGGCAGGCTCTCAAAAATAATTTTTAAAATATATCAAACTAGATTATTTCTCTGTTTAAAATAATCTAGTGTCTTCTCATTGTATCTAGTACCCAAATGCCTTAACATTACTTTACAGGAACTACATGATCAGGCCTTTGACGACATCTCCAAATTTATTTCTTATATTCTCCTAGTTAATTCTGTATTTAACCACATTTTAGTTCTTTCCTTTTTTCAAACACTTCAAGGTGACTTCTACCCCAAGATCTTTATACTTCATGTCCCTTCTCCTGGAATTATCATAGCATGACTTCTCTCTCAATTAATTCATATGCTCAAGTGTCACCACCTTAGAAAGCACTAACCATCATTTCCTATCCCCTGACTCTGCTCAGTTTTCTTTCATGGCCTTTATTCTAACACAATGTTACACTGTTGGTTTTATTCATTTCCTATTAATATCTTCCCAACTGAAATGTTGTAGACAGCCTCATTTTCCCTATCCACCACAGTAATTCCCTAGACATACAAGAGTAGTTATTGACTTAATGAGTGAGCAAGTGGTGAATTAAAAAAAAATTGATATGCAGAAATATACACACCTTTATAAAAGCAACTGTATAAAATTTAAAACATAAAAAGGATTTATGAATATACACAGCTATAGTAAGAAAACAAAAATATGCATGGAAATGATACACATATACCCACCTCAGGATGTTGAATACTGGCTACCTCTGATAAAAGGAAATAATAGAGAAAGAATGGAAAAGTTTTCCCTGTGTATTTTTTATGACTAGAATTGAAAAAAACTTGATTAAATCATGCAAATGTTATTTTTCTCTATGTACTTAAATATTCTTTTAAAGATTTGTTTATTTGTATATACA